GTGACCAAATTTCAAAGCTGGAACGATCACTGGAATAGCCATCGGAATAATTGCCGGAATTGGAATGGTCGCCGGAATAGTCAACGGAGAAGAGTGGTGATCGGAAAGGCAAACCCTAAAAATCATATTCCCATTCATGCTTCTCCTGATCTCGCTCTCGCCTCTGCCCCTTGTCGCCGCTCGCCACCCACCGCCGACCAATAAAATGTTTGTACATCTGAGAATAAATATAACCTGTATGGTCTTGTCATTCTTAATTAACTGAATTTATCTTATTTCTATTAATACATTTATGTAGATCTGAAAATCAGACACGAAATTACAGAGATGTATCAGTTATTTTTATGATCTTGGTCAAAGATGAAACCAAAAAAATGAAGAAAATTCTTTCAAATAATTAAACATGTCCAGAGAATAATTTTTTTTTCTGGGTGATTATGATTATATCATTAAATAAATGGTTATTGATTATGCGAGCATATTTTTGTATGCAAAACGGGAGCTGAGAGAATAATATTTTCCTGGGCCGGCTGGGCGATTTTAAATCGGTCATCGATTATGCAAAGCTTATTTTTTTATGCAAAATAGGAGTTGAGAGATTATCGTTTTGTTTTGGAGCATGAATATGACCTCTAAGACACTTTTGTGACTTTGTCAATTGGCCTCTGGTCTTGATGAGCATCAGCTGGAGATCGTTAGTCTGACATGTTACATTGGAGTTATTAATATTTTGAATTATCGATGTTGAAATGAAGTTGTCACGGAATCCTCAGTCGATGAATTTAATCAATTTGTTACACTTTTCGTCAAAGTTTTTAGCTCATCCTTGCGCTGTTACATTTTAAATTCCTCACCAAGAGCTTTAATTGTTAATTATCTTATATGCACAGGCTTTGTACACATCAATGCAAGAAAAAAAATTGTGCTTCTATTGCACTTTTGTTACTACTATGTCAACTCCAAGAAGTATGTTTCCAGCCACAACTTGTACCTTTGCATTGGTGGGGGAAATCTGTTGGGAAATTTCACACCACTTCCCCTTTTCTACTTAACCCACAGGATCTTTTGTTGTTCAGGATAATATTAGCAAACAAGAAAAATAAAGAAT